CCTAGCACAGACCTGACTTCTGCCTGGGCAGGGCAATAGAACATGTGTTAATAGCATCATACAGGGAAATCTGTACATACAATGTTGCCACGCATATTTTATCAGGACAATGCTGACCAGCAAATTATGGGTTTTCAAGGCATACCTTGTGCAAAGATTATTTCGGTAGCGTGTAGGGTGTAAATATAGGGGCGTATTCTGTTACACAAGCTTTGTGAAAATTGAAATCTATATACTGTCCTCTACATCTGAGCTTAAACACTGCATTAGTAGGTATGAAAAAGAAAGGGAATTGAAGGGGTGACTGTATCCTTAGAAGTCCAGAAGAGCATCACAAGCTTAGCACTGCCTTGTTAGGTGCCAGGGGTTGATGTAAAACAAAGGGAAACCTCAGCTGGCAATGTAGAACTTCTGCTATGGTTGCCGATCTAAATTTTGCTGTGTAATAGTTGCTTTCTTTCAATAAACCACATTGCTTAATTCAACTGGCTACAGTTGATGTACATGCATCTTTCTCTGCTGAGCAAGCTGGAAATGACAGAAGACAATTTAATTTGTTTTTTTTCCTCTTTGTGGAAGCAAATTGCTACAAACACACTCAGATACGCACCCTTGCAGCTTTGTGCTAGATCCCAAAATCTAATTCAAAGCACTTCCATGTGGCCTGACCTGTTCCTGTTTAGCACAGATTTAATCTTGCAATTTCTGACTACAAGCTGTTGACAAAAGAACATTCCAGTATGTGGAAGCAAGGCTTAAGCAATGAGAGGATATTTTAATGGTGGCATGCTGAATAATCAATTCCACTTGAGCGCATAGATCAATACTATCTTGGAGATGTCTGAATAACCATTTAAAGCGAGCAATATAGGTTCAAGATGGGATGAAAAAAGATGGGGAGAATTATGTTCTTGACCATAGTGTGCGGGGCGTAATGGCCTAGAATGGCACCACTGAAGTGGAAGCAAAAGTTTGGAATAGAGACAAATTTTCTGACTTGGTTTGCTGATCATGACAACTCACGGTAAGAACACTGGAACCAAATCCATACACAGTGAGGAAGGCAGGAAGGACTCGCCACATTTTCTTCTTTAAGTAGTGTACCTTTATGGGGTACAGTAATTTCCTGGGTTACTCTCATTTAAGCTGGACATCTGTTTCACAGGGCTGGCCTAAACTACTGCTCAAGTCAATGTAACTTATGTTGCTTAGGGGTGTAAAAAAGACACCCCCCAAGCGACATAAATGACATTGACCTAAGCACCGTCCACACTGGTGCCATGTCAATGGGAGAAGCGCTCTCACCAACACAGCTTCCGCCTCTCATGGAGGTAAAATAATTGTCAATGGGAGAGTGCTCTCCTGGCACACTCTTTTTGTGGTCCTAAGTCATGATTTTTGAGTGTTTGGGTTTGGCAATACTGAAATAGCTATAGGGGAAGTTTTCCTCAAATGTCCACTTCCAAAGGCTGGGGAAAGAGGGAGGTTATCTCTTAGCAGCAAAGGTCGCATCTCTTGGTTAGTTTGGAAAGCCAGCCCCTATGCTTCCTCTGCTTCTGCACCAAACCTTGTCCTTGGTTAGCTGGTAGCTTAGCAGCAGCAAATGCAGGACAATTTAACATCCTAATACATCTTACTAGGCAATCACAGTACAACAGTTTGTGTTAACCAGGACCTTGACTCACCTGGGGTTGGTAGCACCAGCTGCTGTCACGGATCCAGAACTGTAAATAGTGTTTAATACAGCTGCATGGCATTTGTGTGGTTATATGGCACAGTTAAAATGTGACTGGGGCTCACACAACGTTTGGGATGGAGGTTAAGTCCCACAGATCCACTGGATGAGTATTACATTCAGGGGACGTGATTGCTGGGTTTGGGAAATGCCTGTCATTTTTATTTTAGCTTGCCTGTTGTAGTCATTCGTTTCCCCCTTTATTTCTCATTGGAAAAATTGGTGACATTTAAGACCGTTTTTAAACTAAACATGTACAGAGGGTCAGGATTTTTCATCACTCAGGACTGACATTTATTTGCTCTCATTCCATGCAGCAATTGCATTTCTGAATAACTAATTTGAATAAAAAAAAACAACCACCAACCAACCTGCTAAATCCAGAGTTTAGTGGCATGATCAGCGAGAGGCAGGGACAACAACTTGTTATGAGTTTCTAGGAGAGAAGAACTCAAAAGCAACTAAGAGGGAAATCCAAAAACTCTAGGATTAAATTCTTTGCTGGCATAACTTCATGGAGGTTAGTGAAAGTATACCAGCCAAAATATTGGTCCTTTAGTGTTGTGCAGAAATGCTCCCCCCCACCCTTCTTTCATAGGGGAGGAGGAACCAGCAAATATGTATGCAAATATCAGAATTCTCCAGAAATTTCTGCATGGCAAATCTGTATGTGACACTACCATGAAGCTGAGCAAACTTCTAGAGTAGACCTAGGAGTAGAACAGGGGATTCATGCCTGAATTAATGGTAAAGGACCTTAGCCTCCATTTCTTGCAAAATCAGAGCATTCATTGATGCCAACAGGAATGTTGGGTGTGCAAGGAATGAAGGATTTAGGCTCACTATGTAGTGGATTAGAGGCATTACTCAACTAGGGTGAGAGGCAATAAGGCCCGTGACAAAAAGTTACAGGGCAGGTGCTGACAGGACCCTTTACTGATCAGGGTGGTCCCTCAAATGTCACAAGGCTCCTAAACAATTCCCACCGAAGTCAAAGGAAAGACTCCTATTGATTTTAAGGGGAGTTGGACCAGATCCTAACAGCTGTAGTATTTGCATCCAGGGATACCACTAGGCTTCACCTTGTGCGTATTGGGAAAGGAAAAGAGGAGGACTTGTTTAATCAGGTAGATTTCCCCCTTTAATTTCCCTTCATCCTTTGGTCTCCATTTTGTGAGAGTGAGGGCAGCATTTAAATCAAAATCAAAAACAAAGTTCCCCTAAGACTTCCTGATCAACATTTGTAAGGTGCAATTTCTATGCCCCAAATGGATGTCTCTGTCTCCCAGTTATCATGGCAGCTGTTTGCTGCATTAAATGGAGAGGTGAAGCAATCCCTTTTATTTGTGTATCCTTTTTTGTTGCAAGCTCCCACTCCTCAAAACAAACAAACCTTCCTTTCTTGGCGGGGAGGGGAAGTATAAGGATGATCTAAAAAGTGTCATGTCTTCAGCTGAGCATTTTGTTTCTTACATTTTCCCTGTGTAATAACATTGAAGTGGCTTCAGCTGCGGTACTGATCCCAGAGTCCTGGGTGAGCCAAAACTTTCACAGACTTGCACCGGAATGAGGACTCCTGGGTTGTATTGGAGCCTAGGCTTTAGAGTTAATATTTCTCCGAGGAGAAAATGAGAGGAGAGTTTACACTTTGACTGTGGATATAAGATTAAAATCTCTTGGCAAATAAAATAATTCTTTAGTGTGTTTTGCACAGTATTTAAATGTTTGGAGCTAAAGTAATACACACTTTCTATTGCCTTAGGAAATGCACCAACTTTTAGCTAGTAGAAAACAAGATTTTTGCAGCTAGTGGAAAATTGCTGACTTTCCTTTAGGTGGAAATCAATGTTTCCACCTGTCCCCCACCCCCAAATATTAAAATGTAAAGGCCAATGTTGTCAGCTTTGCTATTTGGTACTTACATGGCTAGCACTGTAGTAGCTGGTTTCAGAGTAGCAGCCGTGTTAGTCTGTATCCGTAAAAAGAACAGGAGTACTTGTGGCACCTTAGAGACTAACAAATTTATTAGAGCACAAGCTTTCGTGGACTACAGCCCACTTCC